AGGCTCAAGCTGTAAGAGAAAATTCCAATTAGTAGAGAAATTAATTTGAAAAATTACCTTGACGTTTCGATAGCTATTTTCTGCTATCGTTATCATTTAGGTTCTTTTGATACTACTAGACTACAATACAATACGAAAGCCGCAAGGCCGATTAAGATCGGACAGACAGTTTTTGCATAATACAATTGTTAATTAACCTACCAGGAAAAAATAACGGTGGATAAATGTTGTGTTATATGATTTTCTATACTTAAGGTGAGAATAGTCTTAATCGGCAATCCTAGTACCAGACCGTGATGTAGAGAATCAGCAAAAACTTGGTCAGGGCAAATCACTCTCGTCAAATCGTCTCGCTAAAACCGATAAATGTCTAGCATACGTTCTAGTTAAAAGCCAAAAAAATTGGCGAGCCCTACCATACTGTCACCAAATCTGGAAACCCTAGATAGGCATGAAGAACGCGAAGGATTCTTACCATTATCCCGACAGAACTATTTAGACCATTTAGGATAAATTGACTTTACGCTCTAAATAAGCAGATTATAAAACGGGAACCGGGAAGGAAGACCAGACTAACACAACAAAGTATTTAACAGCATGCTATCGATATTAATGTAACTTACCCATAGCTTTTACACTGTAAATCGCGAGCAGCTACCATTTTAAAACTTCAGCCAAACAGATACAATAAAATCCAAATATAAGGGCGATTTAAAGAAGGCTTCTCTTTACAGACTCCATAGAACAAGGCCACAGAACATACCCCTAAGGGCTTTGAATATAAAACTAAGTTAGTTTTATATTCAAAGCCTAAGGGGGATATTTTGTGAACAAGGCTTGTGAACCACACTTATTCAGAAGACAGACCCGTTCAAAACCGCCATTTTGAATGATGCAAACAGGGTTGCCAGGTCCGAAAATCGAGTTTCGGTAGACAAGCTCGACATTTTTCGATAGAAAATCGGTAGACTCTGTGGAGGTTTGTATGAGTGAGACGAAACGCATGGTGCTTCAACGCGCGCCTTAACTCATTTTTCTTTCATTATTAAGGGCTCCATCTGGTGAGGTTTTGAAAATGCTCTGTTATGCACACCTAGAGCTGGTTGGGTGATCCAAAACCTCACGAAAAAAAAGGCTCCATAAACTCGCGCGTTTTTCAAAACTTAAATTTTTAAACTTACAGGAATACTAAAGTAAAAAAGTAAGTAAGTAAAAACTCTTCAGTATTTCCAGAAATTTTTTTATTTTCTTCAACATTTTGCAACAGACGTCATTCTGTGTCCACACCTTGTAATTCACTATGATTTATTAAATTTGGAAATATCATTGCAACATCAGAAATAGATTGTATGTAGAGAACCTGATTTCACTACTGCAGGATCCATGAAACATAATTTTATCATATTTATTATCTACATGCTTGATTCATTTTACGTTTGAAAAAGAACTCTAAAATACAAGGTGTGCTAAAATAAAATGTCTGCTATTATCAACGTACTTTGATCATGAACGGAAATATGTTATGTTGTTAATATGTTATTATTATTTTATTTTAAGTAATCCACGGAAATTTTTAAAACTTTTATTTGTTACTTTTCGGTAGATCGGTAGGTTCCTTGACAAATCGGTAGATCTACCGAAAAATCGGTAGACCTGGCATCTCGGGATGCAAACATATGGGCGTTTATTTTCATGCACTTACGTGAGCACTCCCGGGGAATTTTTGTATTGCAGACTGCCTAAAATCGGTGTGAAGCAAATTCGATCCTTACAAGCGATATTAAACTATTTTTGTATCACAAATTATCACAATCCTCATCTAGTCCGTTCTGTGTTTGCAGATGATAGTAAGATTTTCACACATGTGAATTGTCACTCGCCTAGTCGAGACGTCTAGACCAGATAAATAAGCTCTCACCGATTTTAGGCAATCGGAAATACAAAAATTTTCCGGGGGTACTTACGCATGGAAACGTTACGTAAACGCATGGAAATAAACGCCATGGTGATGGATGCCATCCATTACATAATGGTACATCTTATGGCTACGGAACAACCTTATACAATTTATCCGTGTTGTAAGCAATTGGTTATACAAAAATGTGTGTAGGTTGAGGCGTTTGAGATTAGCTAAACTCTTCAGTTACCTAAGCATTACACTAATTTTACACAAATGAACATATTTAATGAATAATGATTAAGAACTATTGTGAACTGATGCAATGATAATGATGATCAGTTGTTACCTTAAAATTGCTCAGTATAAAATCAGTCATTCCAATTTATCTTTAGTGCGAAACTAAAAATATATGTTTTGTAATGTGTCATTTCGAACTGTCATATCCTACTAGTAATATATAATTCTTCAATGTGGTAACATATTTTTTCTTTTTAGGGGTAAGGAGACTTAATTTGAAAGCAGTAGTTACACAGCAGAAGCATTTGGTACATCGCCAACAGGAGAGAAACCTATATGTAATTATGTTATCCATACACATACCTAAATATATATTTGCATTAGTAATTGTACTATATTAATGAATTTGTTTTGTTACTTTGAATTAGGTATTTATTTAATTTCTGAATTTTTGATTCATAACATGATTTTGCTTCTTGAGCAAATGTTTCTGGTTTCTATAACAAACACTTTTCACAATATAATGGTAATTGGCGTTTCGCCTATTTATTTACTGCAATAAAAATGTGTAAATGTTTATAG